TGCTCCCCACCCACCCCCCTCACTCCCTCATGCTACCCTACCCTCTCAGCCCCTACATGTAACCCCACCCTTCTCCTACCAGGATTCCCCTCGACATTTTACCATAGTACTCCAACCCATACTACAACAGGATTTTGTTTTTTATTTTGTCTTCACCTGAACTCCACTTTCATCTCTACAATGTATTTGGCCACACAAGCAATTGTTGCAATTTTTCCCATATTTGTTGGTCTAATAAGTTATTGGTCACGGACTCTTGCTTCCAATTAAAGGAAATTAAACTGGGTTGAAAAACATTAACTTGTTTGAAATGTTTGCAGTTATATTCAAGTTTATAACTGTCAAAGTAACATAAGATTTTGTTTTTCTCCTCTGTTTTTATAGGGGAAGACAGTGGGTGTTTTTGTGAAAGATAATTTCCAGGGACAATTTCTGGATGAATGGAAGACTGCATTTGAGAAAGAATCATTTGAGAAGGTCAGCAAACCACCAAACATAAAACATATTTCTGCAGAAAATTAAAAAAACTGTATAAGTCATTTTATATTTTCTTGACTGAGGAAATTGCTGTAGAACCAATTTTTGATACATGTCTAATTGCCTCAGTGGGTGTGTTCAGTAAGCAAGTTGGTGTAACATGCTTCACAACTTTGCAAAAAAATTGTTAGGTATGCTGCACAAAACATTACCTAGTGAGGTGTTTGGTGCCTAATGATGAGAATTCTTTCATGTTTTGCAGGTTGATATCAGCAGTGCTGTAGCTTATGTTATGTCCGTAAGAGAGGAACATGAACTTACCTATGTCAAGGTAGTGATCGAACAACATTTTTACAGTGAGCTGCAAGCCTGTACACAAATTAAGCATCATAAAACACTAAGAAGTCATCTCGTTTTCTCTACCAATCATTAAATATGACCAACACTTGCATAATTTTACAGTAAGCATTAATGAAATTTCTATTGCACGAGTGAAGTTCCTCGTACAAAAATTGTACATAATACATGTATCATTCTTTCTCCTGTAGAAAGCTGCACACGTTTCTTCAGATATTTTTGTTAAATACTTCAAGAAGCAAATCATGGAAATTGTAGATGATGAAAAGGTGTGGTATTGTATAAATCATTCAAAAACTGCCAGGTAGCAAGACAGGCGATAATTGACAAACATGCTGATGTAAATTTGATGCTTTTAATAAGAAATGTCATGTTTAAATTGAAATCCAAGGTATTGCTGTTGAAGGTAGTAGCAAAATAGATTTACTTCTAATTGAGCAAATGTTTATCACATTCTCCCATTTTTTAAAATTTTGATTTGTTCAGTTATGCTAATTAGGTACATGTGTATGTAAATTGGCTGGAGAAAGATAGTTATGCTTTTTGGCAAGGTGGCAGTATTGAAGATTGGAGGAAACCTAAAATGTCCAATCCTACGTAATTTAGAGGCCTAGGTGATACCTTACGATGTAGTTGTTATAGCAACAATTGTACATTGGACATATATATTTTGTTCGTTTTTTTGTTTGTTTGTTTGTTTGTTTTAATGTATACAGTTGTGTGGTGATTATTTTGTAGCGAGTCAAGCATTCTAAAATTGCGGATGGAATAGAAGGAGCTTTGGAGTCCAAGAAATTTTTACAACCTGGCATGGATGCTGACCAAGTGAGAAACAGACTTGTTAATGATTAATTTTTCTATTCTCGCATTTGAATTTTTTCAACATTTAGTTTATGTCCAAATTTTTGTGATTTACTATGTTTTTATATGATTTTTTTTTTCATGATCAGTCTGCTACAGTATAGTTTTCCTCTTTATCTCCACACTTTTCTTTCAGTTTTCAATTTGGGAGTTTCTTTCATGTCATTTACCATTAATTTTACAAGTGGTTTCCTAATTAATTAGTTTAATAATTAATTAATTTATGACTTTGATCCCTGTTGGTGGCTTGGAGCCACCTTGTGGTGACAACAATGCTTACAGTGTTCTCAATATTAGATTTTAACTGGGCAGCTGCCTTTTTCTAGCACTCATCAGAGAGCAGTAGGAGAAGCTTATAACAACTTCCTCTAAGGACCAATTTCTGAAAAAATATTAGCGCTGGAGATTCTCGAGAGAGTGACTGCCTGAGTTCTGGCACTTGTGTGGTGTTTTTGAAAGCACTGTTTTTCTCTACAAGTATAATTACTGTTATCTTGGCTATTATTTCTCTTTACAGGTTGAGATGTGCTACTCTCCCATTGTGCAGAGTGGGGGAAAATTCACACTCAAGTTTAGCACAGTCAGGTGGGGAATTTTACTTTTTGCAGATGCATGTTTATGACTAAGAGGTACAGTGTACAGAGTTTGTTATTTTCACTGTATGTTCAGTGTAACAGTTCAGTGAAAGGCACCCTACATTTTCTCATGATTGGCTTGGCCAAGGCTTGAACCCGGACTACTCAATCTGGAGTCCATTGCACTAACCATTAGGCCAATACACCTCGCATAGACAGCCTGGTCTCCATATGAAAAGTTGTTGTACCACGTGTACTTTACTGTAACTGATTTCTTAGGTAGCTACCTGTACAAACTATGAAGTTCAAAACTCGATCAATGGTGGTCTGGTACATACACTGACATTAGGGTAAATCAAACTGGAAATAAATAAACACCAACCAAGCTCGGAGATGCAGGCCAATAACTGGTTTGTTTTACAACCCAAGGACCATTTCACTAGCTGATAAATACATGTATTGCTTGCTCAATAAGAGACATTTTGACAGAAAATGCATACATGTATGTGTAGCAAAAATACCGGTACATCAACCTATCAAATTGACGGACATGTTCAGTGTAAGGTTTTACTAAACTACAAGTTTGATGGTCATGCATTATGTCTCACACTGGTAAAATGGTGACAGTAACTTTAATTGACAGTTTATTTGTTCTTGTGTTTCCATTTCCTTTAGCAATGAAGAGAAGCTACACTATGGTACAATTATCTGTTCACTTGGTGTTCGTTACAAGTTCTACTGTTCCAACATTGTCAGAACAATGTTGTACGAACCATCACAGGTAAACCCTGAGGTTGCCATTCTTCTGCCCTCCCTCCAACTTCCTCTCTCTGTGCCTCACTCCCTCTCTCCTTGACTGTCTTTGCTTCTAGTTTTTTTTTACTGTAATTTCAAGGGACCTGACTCTGATTGTGAAATATTTTTGCCTGCTACGTCAAGAATCATGCGATCTGCTTTAAGACGTAAGCCCCTCTTAAAGCCCCCACGAGACATGTAGAATTAAAAATATAATTGCATTATTTATTTATTTATTTATTTAATCTAATTTTTCATTTATTCAGGAGCAGCAAGACAACTATGATCTTCTGCTGGGAACTTTCGATATAATTTTGGACAAGTTAAGACATGGCGAGTAATTTAAATAAATTATATTATTAATCATTATTGATGTTATTACTTTAAATATACCTTGATCTACTTTGTCTAAATGGTGCAACTTCAAGACTGTTAAGGAAACACNGGGGTGGTTTTATTTCTTATTTTATTCTGTCCGAGATTGTAGGTACCTTTTGTACCGTTGTTTGTGGGCTGTTAAGAAATGTGGCATTTAAGAATTTTATACCCAATTTCCATTCAGAGTGAAGCCATCCAATGTTGCCTACAAACATCCATCCTTAGTTCCAAGAGAAAATGATGTCAGAGAACACAAAATATTTGTTGGTAAGTTAGTCTCCAAAGAGCATTATATACCGTATCCTACCATAATTCCTTTTTCACAGTTACGTTTTGTAAATTAATTTGTACGCTGCATTTTTCTTCGGTTTTCATTACCCACTTTTTCTTTCCTTTCAGACAAGAAATACGAAGCAGTTGTTTTGCCACTGTTTGGTGTGGCTACTCCATTTCACATATCAACCATCAAGGTAGGTATATATATTAATTTGCTTTCATGTTAATTCTGAGGATTTGGTGATAGAGTTGAACCCTAGTATCTCGACCTCTTAGACGTTTCTTAGGGAAAGGAAAAAGTAGTGTAAGTCTGTAAGATTGTAGGGGTGCAAGGTAGCCAATAGTAACTGACCGCCAAAGTACATCCATAGATGATGGGGAATTCAGAAAACTTTGAGGCATCAAGTTTGTCAGTGCATAAGGATTTGACCATGACCTGTTTTCATTTTGCTCTTTCAGAATATCAGCTCGAGTGATGAAGGGGGATATACCTACCTTCGAATTAATTTGTTTTGTCCAGGAAGGTAAGAAAATAAAAATTAATTTTTGGAGAGGTGGTTTAGATTGAAACAGATAAAATTTTATTACCACAAAATTCCAGGGAAATTTGCCTTTCCCTGTCGCAGAATGAGGCGTTATGCATCCCATGAAGCAGCAAGGACGGATAATGGTCACTGTGTAGTGCCGCCTCGTTGGTAATAAGTCCCTTCCTAAAGTTGCACGTCTAAAGGTGTCAAACTTCGGTTGTGTCACGCAAAAAAAAAACAAACAAACAAACAAACAAACAAAAAAAAACACGTTTTCTTTGTCATGATCGATAAATTCCATGCAATTAAAGAAGCTACGTCACGGTTCGTAAATCTTGAAAAGTTTAGCGTAAGTTTTCCAAGTTCTTTGTTTGCAGTCCGTGTTAATCTTCGCCATCCTCATCCATCATCGTTCCGTTTTGGTTTAGTATTACCTCCTTGGTGTTTTTCAAACTTATAATTAGGAAAGTATTATTTTGAGATTTCCTTCAATTTTAAGGTGATTTCGTACTTCTCAAAAAAATGCCTCATAACTCGTGACAATTCTCCTTTAACGTGCGAACGTGAATGTTTTAGCCACAATATTGTCCCTGTCATCTTCTCATCCTCTAAAAGGGGTATGAGGTTGTCCAGAATATTTTAAGGTTCTCATCGTACTGTACACAATTTTTTTCCAGTGCTGTAGGTCGTTCTGAAGGAAGTCTCTTCGCACAACCTGAGGCCACCTTTGTGAAAGAAGTGTAAGTTTTCACTCTGTCAACGTCGTTCTGAACATTTGCCGTTAATTTGTATCAGTAACTATTGTTGAAAGTTTGTTTGTTTTCTTATTTGTTCGATTGCCTTCTTCCACAGTAACTACCGAAGTTCAAACACCAAACCCCATGGAGCATCTCAGCCGCCAGCCTACAATCTAAGCACGGCGTTTCGATTGATTAAAGAAGTACAGAAAAAATTTAAAACGAGAGAGGCTGAAGAGAAAGAGAGACAGGTCTGTAGTGAATATCCAGTAAATATCTCCAGCTCAGAATGTTACTTCTCCTTTCTTGTCTCTGTACATCAGTCTTGATGTTACTTGCGAGAAACTGGTAGTACATCAGGACAACATGTACATCCTTGGTAATGTTTGTGTCCTTTAATTTCTTTTCCTTTATGCAGGGCGTTGTACAGCAAGGTAACCTTATTTTAAACCCAAACAAAGGAAATCCCAAACTGAAAGACTTGTACATCAGACCGAGTATCACACAAAGAAGATCACCGGTAAGGCCTTTATACGGAATAGCTGTTACTTCTAACACATCGACTTGCTTCTTGTTTCTTCTTTCCTCTACAAAATTGGAAAGGTTAGGCCCTAAACGTGTATTGCTATACATGTACATGTACCTGCGAGCTAACAGAACTTGAACCAAAACTTGCGACGACTGGATAGCGCGGGGAAAATCACGTGACTAAGTCGCTGGGATTGGTTAAACATGAAGGGTTTTAGCTAATCATACGGCTTTCATTTCATTGGTAAATTTGCCCTTTGTAAATGTATTCATTGTAGGGCAATCACCACACGTTTTAATGTCGTGTTATACTGCGCCTTTCAACATGCGGACTCTAAAATTCAAAGCTCAACCGACAGATACGTTTTTTTGCTACCGTCGATCAAATGTTCGGCTCCTCCCAGCTTCCGACTACTGCCGAGCGTACGGTAATCAAATCGTTGAGCACAGTTCAGACAACGAAACAGTGCTGGGCAGTAGTCGGAAGCTGGAATGAACCACCGAACATTTGACTGACGGTAGCGAAAAACGCATTTATCGGTTAAGCTTTGAATTTTAGAGCCCGCATGTTATTGAAAGGCGCAGTAATGTCAACAGTAATGGAACTAAAGGTTGACGTTGTTTCTATGTTAATGTAAGGACTTCACAGACTGCGATAAGATAAATTTGTTATGCGTTAACTAAGATTTTCTAATTCTGTTTTCTTCATCAGGGAACTTTAGAAGCGCACACGAATGGTAAGTACGCTGCATAAAAATGATATGTTAAAAATGCGTGTAGTCTGATGAATTGATTTCAAGAGCGTTTTGATTGCTCTTCAGACTTAAATTGTNTCGACATGGTGTTTGTGTTCAAAGACTACAAACGTAAAGTGGAACACGTGAACGCCATACCGATGACGTCGCTTGATTCCGTCAAAGACTGGTTAAAGTAAGTAGCTTTGTTTGCCGTTTCTCCCACTACAGCGCGCCCATTCATTGGCTAGTTCATGGTCACATGACATCTAACAATGAAACTATTTCCCGCCAAATGCCATGAGGGAGCAACATCATGAAAACTATTACGTCAAACGGGAAACAGTTCACTGTTACCCGTGAAGTGTTGACCGCTGTTGCACGTCATTTGTCAATAAAGAGATTATTTGTTTTCCACCGGTCTGACCCATTTGTTTTGCCATATAATAAATCACTTAATGACTGGTCCCTTAGGGAACAGTGAATTTTGTTTCCCTCGACTTCGCCTCGGGAAACATTGAGATTCTCGGGAAACAAAATTCACTGTTCCCCTCGGGATCAGTCATTAACCCTTTGAATACCAAACTTTCGCCAAAAACGACCGTTTTTAAACGTTTAGTCAGGTTTTTTAGCTGCCATGACGCTAAATAAGCCTAAGTTTTGCTTAAAAAGCTTTTTTACTAAAAGGAGAGATTTTTCGAGGATTAGGCACGAAATTGAGCAAAACGGGCATGCGCATAAGCCACAATTTGGACTACTTTTTTTTGGCCATTAACCGTTCTCAATTTCTTTTGTTGGCCCTTTCCTTTCTGTTTTTCTCGGCTCTTTTACACTGGCTACCTTTTGCATTGTATGTTCTTTCTGGCTGCAGTGAAAAGTTGGATGTTAATTACGGGCGAAGCCTAGAAATGGACCTT